AAGGGAGAGGTAGAGATAGAGAGAAGCATCGATGTGAGAGACTTATCAATTGTTTGCTTCCTGCACACGCCCTGACTGGCACTGGGGATTGAGCCTGAAACTGAGGTATGTGCCCTTGACAGAATCGAACCCGAGACCCTTCAGTCTGCAGGTTGATGCTCTAGACACTGAGCAAAACTGGTTAGGGCTGTTTTTATTGATTTTAGAGAGAGAGGGAGAGCAAGAGAGAAAAAGAATCATTGGTATGAGAAAAACATTGATTAGCACCCTAACTGGGGATCGAGCCCCAACCTGGGCATGTGCCTGACTGGGACTCAAACAGGAGACCTTTTGGTGCACAGAACGACGCTCAACCAACTGAGCCATGCCCGCCAGGGCAAAAAAGTATTTAAATTAAGCCTTGTTTAATGAAATAATTACTTTGACATTATCCTGTACTTTTTAAAAATAATCAAAACAGCCCTGGCCGGTTTGGCTCAGTGGATAGACCAGGGGTGGGCAAACTTTTTGACTCGAGGGCCACAATGGGTTCTTAAACTGGACCGGAGGGCCGGAACAAAAGCATGGATGGAGTGTTTGTGTGAACTAATATAAATTCAAAGTAAACATCATTACATAAAAGGGTACGGTCTTTTTTTTTTTAGTTTTATTCATTTCAAACGCGGGCCGTAGTTTGCCCACGGCTGGGATAGACTGTCAGCCTACGGATAAGGGTCCCAGGTTCAATTCCAGTCAAGGGCACATGCCCAGGCTGTGGGCTTGATCCCCAGTAGGGGGCATGCAGGAGGCAGCCAATCAATGAATGATTCATTCTCTTCATTGATGTTTCTATCTCTCCCTCTCCCTTTCTCTCTGAAATAAATATATATATTTAAAAAACAACAACAATCAAAACAAGCATCAGGCCTTGCTGGGTAGCACAGCTGGTTAGAGCATCATCCTGATATACCAAAGTTGCAGGTTCGATCTCCAGTCAGGACACATACAAGAAGCAACCAATAAATGCATAAATAAGTGGCAAAACAAATCAACATTTCTTTATCTCTCTCTCCCTAAAATCAATCAACAATTTTTTTAAATCTTCACCTGAGGATATATATATATATATATATATATATTTCTTTTTTTACTATATTTTTATTGATTTCAAAGAGAAAGGGAGAGGAAGAGAGAGGTAGAAACATCAATGATGAAAGAGGATCATTGATCGGCGCCTCCTGCTTGCCCCCTACTGGGGTTCAAGCCTGCAACTCGGGCATGTGCCCTTGAATGCAATTAAACCCGGAACCCTTCAGTTTGCAGGCCGATGCTCTATCCACTGAGCCAAACCAACTAGGGCTGAGGATATGTTTTTACTGATTTCAGAGAGAGGAAGAAAAAAAGAGAAACATCGATGTGAGAAACATTGATTCAGTATGTGTCTTGAGTGGGAATTGAACCTACAACCTTTTGATGTACAAAGGATGATGCTCCAACCAACAGAGCCACCCAGCCAGAGCTCAATAAATAAAGTTAAAAAACAAAAAACAAGCATCAGCATTTTCTGTTTCTGAAGACAGAGTTGTATTTCTTACCTGAGGCATTAGTATTATCTGCAAAGGAGCATCAGGAACCACAACAAAAAGCCTCATAAGTTGAGCATAATGTGGTTTTAGTCCTCTACCCTGAGATGATGACAGAATATACAAGGGCATATCACTATTCAGGGCTTTTAAAGCTGATTCCTTTGGTCCACTTCCCAGTACTTTCATCACTTTGTCAGGTCCTGAGCACATAAACCTCCGACCTCGAGAGTCTTCATATTCGAAGCCCACAAATGCTCGAGCTATGTCATCTCGCCGTCTTCCTCTTCCCATTACAACTGCACTCCTCTTTCCAGGAATAGCTTTATTTGGAGCAGGCCAAGAATTTGTGTCCAAGTCTCCTTCATCCTCAGCTCTGGTCCTGATGACAATGTCCCAAGGCATAAGATAGTTTGTTCCTGGAATGAAGCCCTGTTGATCCAAACCTGTATGAAAGTTGTAAGACTTAGCAGGGCCTAGTTTAACCAAAGACCAGCTCGAGAATTTGGGTAGGAGACCTTTAGGGCAATTTGAATGCAGCATGCCTGGGAGATACTCAACTGTGGATGCCTGTCGATCAATCAAGTTTGGTCTCTTCTCAGTTTTAACTTCTCCTTGACCATGGACTTCTGGATTATCTCCTCCTGCTTGTGGATCAGCTGGATAGGTACCTAAACTGTCTGTGGACTGGCCTAAACTCAAAGCTAAACTCAGGCTTGTGCTCTCTCCTTGAGTTTGAGGTTCTTTTTCTTTAAGTTTATCAGGATCTGTATCTGGAGGGGCAGGAGAAGATTCATTTTTAGCAGGAGCAGGATCTGGAGTACTTGGTTCAAATACTGGAAAATTAATATGATCCAATTTTCCACAACATTTTTCTTCTAGAAGCTATAAAGAAAGAAGGAGGAAGGAAAAAAACAAACAAAAAATCCTGTGAATTTTTCATTTAAAGTAAGTCTTCACTCTAAAAAGCGTAATCAATAATTAATGAGTAAGCAAGTACTTTCCTTTGTCTACATATCTCACTATAGTCACATTTACTTTTCTAGATATTTTACTTCTGAAAATATGTATTTTTATTCAGTTGGTAGTGAATAAAAAGAAAGCAAGAAAAAGAAACAAGAAAAAAATCCAGAGTCTACCTGATAAAAGTCATAATTAGCTGCCTTGATATCAAAAGGATCATCTCGAGGTGCTTGTTTCCTTCCACAGTTACAGGCCCCAGTGGATCGAGCTCTGCTATTGTGATATAGTACAGGAGGATTTCTATCAGCCTCTGGTTTTTCTCCTGGAAAATATGAGTCACTATTAATTTGATACACACAAAAAGCAGAATCAAATTTATTTTGCATTCTATAACATCTAACCCCAAAAATGTTAATATGAAATTTTGTATTCTTTAACAGTTCGCATTTCCTAATTCCTTAGAATTCATTTTCTAAATACAAGAAAATAATTAGTAGTCATAGCTGATTCTTTTCTTTTTACAGAAGGAAAGAAAAAATACAATGTGCCTACATTTCTGTGGGGTTCTTTTTAAATATATCAATACATAGTGAACAAACACCCTTAAAACCAGAATAAAAAGACAGCTCAAAGTTTTGATATCAAAATGCTAAGAAAACTTTACCTGATTTAGGTAATGAATGAAATTTATGTACACAATGTTGATCAGTTAAACTCCTCTCTTCACAGAGCTGATGGCCATTGCTCCAAAACTTGTAGCAGTCCTCATGTAACTGCATGGCATATTTGTGAAAGGCTGGGCCCCTAGCATGTTGACTGTATACTCGCAGAGCCTGGGCAAGTTGATTCTTATGAACAGTCATTGTGTAATTATGAGGCAAATTTGACTGATAGGCACTATGGGCCATGGGTAAAGCTTTTTGGCACCGGTTTTCTGAGAATTTGGTGTCAATATCCAAAAACCCTTCCAAGACTTTAATACTACTTAAAATCTTAGATGTTAGCTCCCCAGTGGGAGACCCCAGATCCTCCTCTTTTCCATCAATAGCTACTTCATACAGTTTTGAAGCTGCTGAGATCCACTTCTGGTAAGTGGGAAGTTCAAAATGAGAAGGCTGTGGGTTCCTACCCACACTGTCATCAAAACCTTTCTTGCTTAGGACTAGCTCCACATGCTGCCACAGAAATTCCCGAAGAGTGAAATCCACTAGTTGCCCTGAAGAACTGGAACTGCTGCTATCAACGTGGAAAGAAAGTTGTTGCCGGATGTGTTGCCTCATCACCTGGTATCGCCTGGGACCAGAAAGGGGTGCAGGCACCAGCAAAGATTCAGAATCCTTCACAGTACAATGACTCCTAAGTTGGTCCAGCAACATGCCTACTGGGTCCTCCTCCTGGCTTCCTGGAACTATGTACACAAAAGCTTGGTTGGCAGGCACAGTAAAGAGGCAGTTGATACTCTGATTAGTCAATACACGACTCTTCCGGAAGATTCTATAAATCTGGTCCTCCAGGGCGTGTTGCAGTCTCCTTTTGGGAGAATGCTTCTTGGGCTTGTCTGGATGTGCTGGGTCTTGGTTCCGAGGGGGCTCCACTTTGAGGGCTCCATTGAGTTGAAAGAGGAAAAGAAGTCTAGGTGGGCAAGGTCGGCAGTTTAGTTTCCAGTCTTTGCCAACTGGACAATCCTTAATGGCTGTTTTGAGGAGGGGCAGTACTTTCTGTCTTAGTCCATCCAGGGCTCTGAATACTCGATCATAAGTGATGTCAAAGGAACAAGTGGGATGGACCAAAAGCAGGATGTGACAGACGGAGAAAAGGTAGAGGAGACTGAGGCACTGCAGTTTTTCTTGATGTTTCCAGAACTCGTGCGCTTCTGCATGAGGTAAAGGGAGGCCACCTCCAGCTTCCCCACTCTGAAGGGCCTGGCAAGCCCGCAGAAGCTGGGCATTGTCACAGATGGAAGTGAGAAGAAGGTAGAGAACTTTGCTTTCCTGATTGTAATAGGCCTGCAGAAGGCTGTAGTCCTGAGGGCCTGGCCCAGTTTGGTCACCTTCCGCGGCAGCTACACCCCCCCGAACTGGATCCGCGGCCCCAGCCCCAGCCCCAGGGTCGCCCGCTCCACCAGCCTCCCCGGCGGCGACAGTCTCGGTCCTGGTTCCAGGCCCTGGGTCGCCAGGATCTTGGTGGCGAAAAAGGGGAAAGACCTGTCGGTCGCACACCGTGTTCACAAGTGAGAACTTCTCGGAATTCAGTCGCAGAGCCGTCTTGCCAAAGATTCCCACCACGCAGATCTCATCCTCTCGCCAAGGCGGCTCCGGGCTGCTCGCTGCGCTCCCTCCGCCCTCTGCAGGGGCCCCCTCCGTGCTTTCAGGGCTGTTCCAGGCGGAAGCTCCCACTAGAAGCTCTCGCAAGCTGACAGGACCCGCCATGGTGCTGAGACTCTCTCTAGTCCTTCCGGTCCGCCGGGGTGAACCCAACCGACCTTCGTCCTGCCTTGAAATCCCTCCTCCGTTTCTTCAGTTCCTGCTCATCATAGGTTCCGCCGCTCGCACCTCCCCTCCTAGTTTTTCTCCAAGGTTTCCCCTAGTCCTGCAAAATAGCGATTTAAGATTTTCCTCAACCCGATACTGTAGGATTTGAGATATCATATAAAAAAGACACTCAGAAGCAATTAGTTTGCATTTCAAGATATTTAAAAACACTGCAGAAGAAGAGTGCCAATGCCCCAGCCAGTTTGGCTCAGTGGACAGAGTGTCGGCCCCGCAGACCTCGGTCCCCAGTTCCATTCAGGTCAAAGGGCACGTACCTCCCCGGTTGCAGGCTCCATCCCAGCCCCTGTCGGGGTGCGTGCGGGAGGCGACCAATAGATGTGACTCTCTAACTTCCATGTTTTTCTCTCTGTGTCTCTCCCCCTCCCTTCCATTTTCTCTAAAAATCAGTGGGGAAAAAGGATATCCTCACAGGAATGATCTCATTTATATGTGATCTTATAAGTGGAATTGGAAAAAGAAAAACACCTAACAGTGAAACAGAGAACAGATTGGGGGGCGGGAGGGCAGGAGGTGGGCGAAGGTGATCAGAAAGTACATACTGAAGCAGTAAGATAAAAAGTTCTGGGGATGTAATTATAGCAAGTGACTATAGATGATAGTACTGTACTACATATTTGAAAGTTGCTAAGGGAGAAAAGAAAAAAAAGAAAGTTGCTAAGGGAGTACATCTTAAAAATTCTCATTGCAAGAAAAAAATTGTAACTATATGAAGTAATGATGTTAACTAGATTTACTGTGGAAATAATTTTGCAATATATACATATATCAAATAATTATATTGTGTGCCTTAAACTACTAATGTTATATGTTAGTTGTATCTCAATAAAATGGTGGGACCCTAAGTTGTGGTGGGTGGTTTTGGTGTTTTTAATATATTAGGCTATATTTGGCTTCCAGTAATTCTTCTCAACCAACTCTTACTAACAAGATTTTAGAAAGGAGTAGTGGTGGGTTTTTAAAATTTATTTTAAATTCTTTTTCTACTTGTTCCCTCCCTTCTACATGTCCAGATCCTATTTTTCTTTGAAAAGCCAACTAAAATGAAAACATCCACATGTTCATCCACATAAATTACATTGTGGTCCTCAACATGGAGATTATTTGCTATGTTTAGTAAGTGACTTTGCTGACATGTTATTTTAACAATTCTTTGACTTATACAGGAAAAATAGTGTATATTAACCTCACACATTGTATAGATTTCCCAAGTAAGCAAAATGTTGAAAAACCAAATAGAAAAGACTCTTTTGAAGAAAACAAGAGAAACAACTGTTACACTTTGCTGAAGGGACCAAAGATTGGTACAATCACTTGAAAAGCCAGTTTGACAGTATCTACAAAATAGGCACTTTGTAACCTAGCAGTTTCATAATAGCCAAAAACTAGAAATAACCCTGATGTTCATTAACAATAGAATGGATAACTATATTCACGTATCAAAAATAATGATTTATAGCACTGCACAATGACATAGTTGAATCTTTTTTTTTTTAATCCATGCCTGAGGATATTTTTCCATTGATTTTTGGAGTGGAAGAGAGAGGGAAAGAGTGAAATATCGATGTGATCCATTGGTTGCCTCCTGGAGGAGCCCTGACCAAGGCCTGGGCCAGGTACATGCCCTTGACCAGAATCAAAGCCGGGACCCTTCGGTCCACAGGCCGATGCTCTATCCGCTGAATGAAACCAGCTGGGGCAACACGGTTGAACCTTAAAAAAATAAATGTCAATTGAAAGAAGACAGAAGAGCCCTGGCTCCTGAGCTCAGTGGTTAGAGCAAGGGGGGTCATGGCATGTACAGATTCAATCCCTGGCGCCATGTAGGAGGCAACCAATCTATGTGTTTCTCTAACATCAATGTTTCTCTCTCTCTCTCTTTCCCTCCCTTCCACTCTAAAAAAATCAACGGGGAGTGCTTGCTTCAGCAGCACATATACTAAAATTAGAATGATACAGAGATTAGCATGACCCCTCCACAAGGATGACATGCAAATTTGTGAAGCATTCCATATTTTAAATAAATAAAAAATCAATGGAGGAAAAATCCTCTGATTGAGGATTAGTGAAAGAAGACAGAAGAATATATAATGTATGATTTTATTTACATAAGAGTTCAGAAGCAAGCAAAATAAACCACACATTTAGGGAGGCATACTTAAAAGGACTAAACAAGAACTATTTATTGTAACAAGCATGTCAGTAATTAGTTTTAGAGGAAAGGGATTATAATATGGGAGGGGAACAGTCAGGGCTTCTAAAGACATTTATAATGTCTCTTTCTTGGTTAGATGAGTGTTTGCTTTATGAATTGTTAATTTACTTACTTACATTTTATGTCCCTTTCTCTATGTGCTATGGTTCTGGTGAAAACATTAAAAAAGAGAAAAATTAAAGGCTCTTTTATTGCTCTTTATTTAAAAACATAACCAGATGTACCATGGTAGTAGTTTATATTCTCTGGTTGTCATTTAGTCTCAAAATAAACATTGGGAACATATGATCAGCAACAGTTTAATGAAGCCATAACATTTACAGGATTTTCAAATGGGTACAATATAAAATCTGCCAGCCCTAACTGGTTTGGCTCGGTAGATAGAGCGTCGGCCTGCGGACTGAATGGTCCCAGGTTCGATTCCGGCCAAGGGCATGTGCCTTGGTTGCAGGTACATCCCTGGTGGGGGGTGTGCTGGAGGCAGCTGATCGATGTTTCTCTTTCATCAATGTTTCTAACTCTATCCCTCTCTCTTCCTCTCTGTAAAAAAAATCAATTATATATATATATATATAAATCTGCCATAAAAATTTTAAATGATGCAACATAGAATACAATTTAATACTGGTACAATGGCAATAGCAGCTTTACAAATATTTATAGAATTTCTATAACATGTTTTTATAAACCTTTATTCTACAAGAATGATTACATTATTTAAAATTGATATAGTACACTGTGGTTTATTAATATTAGAAACATTATGAGTGCCTAATAAAATATTTTGTACAAATGCTCAACTACTTTATTCTCAGTGATCATTCCCTTTATTCACACATAATATAAATGTAGTTAGCAGGTTAGAAAAATTTTATTGGAAGCACATATGTTTAACTAATATCTGTTGAATTTTTATCTATAAATGTGCTGTAAACATAAATGTGGATGTCATAAAAACAAAACAGTATCCCCAGGTCTGCTTTCCAGTCTGGTGACTTTTATAACACTATTTGGCACCTCACAGCAATATGTACCTGTGGAAATACAAGCATTTCTGGAAAATGCTAAAATACCTGTTAAGCCTAAGCTAACCAGGGGATATTTCAAGGATATCATCTATGTAGCTGAAACCCCTGGGTCCCTATCCATGAAGAACTACTAGCCGCCTTTCTGGAACTGCAGTGGAGGTTACAGCATTAAAGATAGTCCTGCATGTTCAGTCACACTCACACTAATGAGTTTCCCTTCCTCCATGATACTTAGAGCATTAGTGATGGGGATCCTTGACAAATCTATAATAGTGCCCACTGTTAAATAGATGTGTCTGACAAACTGGGGCCTCCCAGAAATACCTGGCAAATGTGTAGGAGACTGACTCGTAGGATCACCAAATAAAATAAAGGATGCCCAGTTAAATTTGAATTTCAGGTAAACAATGAATTTTTTTTGTGAGTCCTCACCCCAGGATATTTTTTCCACTGATTTTTAGAGAGAGTAGAAGGAAGAGAAGGGGAGAGAGAAACATCGATGTAAGAGACACATCGATGGGTTGCCTCCTGCATGTATCCTGACTGGGGCCGGAGATCAAACCTGCAACCCAGGTACATGCCCTTGACCCGTGATCCTTTGGTGCTCAGGCCAATGCTCTAACCACTGAGCTCACCAGCCAGAGCTGACTTTTTTTTTTTTAGTATACATATGTCCCATGCAATATTTGGGACATAATTATACTAAACAAAGTATTTATTGTTTAATGGAACATATTTATATTTAAAAGTTATTTGTTATTTATCTGAAATTCAAATTTGATTGGTGTCATGTATTTATATTTATTAAATCTGGCAAACCTGGATTGGCAGGAAAGAACAAAAAATCCAGTTAGGTGTACATTATTATTGATATTGAATCAACAGGATATCAGGTGAACCTGTTATGGACCTCAAAGAATCCTTGCTAGGGCACTGTGGACAATACAAGGTTCAGGCTGAAGTCTTTATGAAATTTATATTTAGCTGTATGAATGTAGATAGCAGATATCAAAATAATGAATATCTCAGACTTTAGTGAGCCAGATATAACTCCCTACCTAAGATGCTAGAAATGATACATTCTAATTTTTAAGATCACATTGGACCTTTTGCTTCCAAACCTTTTGGAAAATAGGTGGGTTTGGATGTAGGATGCTCTTACCCCTTAACTCATCGGTTCTCAACCTGTGGGTCGCGACCCCTTTGGCGGTCGAACGACCCTTTCACAGGGGTCTCCTAAGACCCCTAAATATCAGATATTTACATTATGATTCATAACAGTAGCAACATTACAGTTATGAAGTAGCAACGAAAATAATTTTATGGTTGGGTCACAACATGAGGAACTGTATTTAAAGGGCCAGAAGGTTGAGAACCACTGTCTTAACTGTTTATAATGAACATAAATAAAATCTAGAGGGTCTTTCTTATTGATCAAGTTTATAGCACTTAATGAATGCATACGCTTAAAAGCTGAAATACTTTTCAATTACCTGAGAATACCCAACTAGGAACTAGGTTATTGTCTTAAGGTCATAAATGCACCTACAGAGTATAAATTAGTTATCTAGTTAAATTTAAAAATCTTCTCCAATCTAAATTGGGTAATTCCAGGATGAACATCACTTTGGAGATTGTATTTTCCATTCTGTTCTCTTATTGATCATGCAAACAAGAAAATATCCAAATACTCACTTTACTAGTATACTACAGTAAATATGGACTCCATAATATTATAATTCTTTAAATGGAATTATAAATTAGAATAATTATTTATACATACTACATTTTTAAAAAAGGAGTGGGGTGATTTTATGGATATTTTATGGATGATCATATGGAGTCAGGCAGAGTTGGCATCAGTTTTGTTCATCAAAGTTGCTTGTAGAAAGTGGCAGAGTTTGAGTTGGGCTTCTAGGGTGAGCCAGCTATGAAAAAAAAGAAAGAAAAGTCTCAATTATAATGTGAATTATGCTCCTATAGCCAACACAGTTCTCCTTCTTCCTTACTAACAGAACCCAGATTCTGTGCAAGGAAGCAATGCATCCAGATTCTAAAAACCAATTTTCCCAGCTTCCCTGATATAATCAGAAGTTCCTAGATAGCAACTGTTTAAAGAGATTAGGGATATCTTAGCTAACACACCCTCTTGTCCTTTGCACTTTTTATCTTGCTTAGAATGTAGACATGAGTCTTCAGGAAGTATAGTCATTCTGCACCTTAATCAAAGCCACACGTTAAGGATGGGAAAGCAGTGATGACATGGTGAAGCTGGTGTACCAATTAGACTGCCTGCTTCTCAAGGGAATATGTAGGTAAGAAAAAAAGCCCTTTGTTGGTTATGACACTGTAGTCAGATTTCTGTTACCTGCAACCAAATGCAAGACCTAACGAATGCAGTTGCTTCAAAGTTAAAGGAAGGAAGCCTAAGGGCTGGGTGGGAAAAGTCATTCTATGCCCAACAACAGTTTTTTACTAGACATCCTCCTAGCAAGTGACTTTTGAGGAGCACATATAGGGCATAGGGACTATCTGTGATTTTTGATGTTGTTGCTAAATATGTGGATATATTATTTATTATATTTCTATTTGTTTCTACATTACCCAGCCCACTGGCACAAAAAGGATCCTAGAACTGAAGAAGGAAAGGAAGGGGCTTAGTCCTTCGGTGAGGCCTCTGCCCTCTGCCGCTGTCCTTCACAATATGTGTTATCACCAAGGAAGGTAATCCAGAGGTAGAGCCCTATTGGAGGAGAGAGGAATCTGGCCACACCTCCAAAGAAGACCATATAGTCCCAGGAGGACCAAGCTGAATTGGCAAGAGAGAAACCAAGCTGTCCTGCGAAAGGCACTGATTCTTAATGAGGACAGTGTTGGGGTGAAGTGTCAGCAGTGAAGTCTATGGTGCGTCTTTGCTGCCAGAGGGACACAGAAATGTAAACTTCATAGCCAAAGAGGCCAGCAGCCTTGTGTCCCCGCACTCTAGCAGGGGTGGCAGAAGGATGGCTATTCCGTACAGATCTGATCAGGAAAATGATAGGGACAAACGGGGTTTGGAAAAAAATCACACAAGGCGAAGTGATGTACTGGATTTTGGTGAGTGGGCATACAAAGAAAAAAGCTGCATGATCTGACTCCTAGCGACATCTCCATCCCTGTCAGCACCACTGTCAAACTTGCTCTCTCAGCAGCCATTCTGGCTACTTTTTAGTTCCTCTGATAGGCCATGATTCCTCCCACTGTGAGACCTTCTCACATGCTGTTCTTTATGTTCAGAACTTTTTCTTCCATGACATCCATGGGAGGCCCACCCCCATACTACATAGGTACCCTTCTCAGCGAATGCCTATTCACCCTTCTAGTCTCACCTCATCACTTCCTAAGAGAATCCTTCCTAAATCATGGGCTCTACAGAACCCTATTCCTTTCCTTCACAGCACTTATTTTCATGCACAATTATCCATATATGTGATTATTTTATAAACATCTATTTTCCCCACTAGACTGTAAGTTCCAAAACAGTAGATTTGTGTCTGTTTTGCTTATCACTATATCCCTGATACTCCAGCACAGTGCCTGGCAGATGAGGTTTAATAAATAGTTACTAAAAGAATTTTAAAAACCAGACAGTCACTGGTAAAGTGAAGATGATAATCTTCACTATCTCATAAAATTTTATGAAGCCTAAATATGTGAGTGCTTTGTAAAGCATAAAGTATCATTTAAAGATTATTATTATTATTATTATTTCTAAGAAAGCTGCTTTAGCCTTAGCTGGTTTGGTTTAGTGGATAGAACATTGGCCTGCGGACTGATGGGTCCCAGGTTCGATTCTGGTCAAGGGCACATGCTTAGGTTGCAGGCACAAACCTCAGTAGTGAGTATGTAGGAGGCAGCCAATCAATTATTCTCTCTCATCATTGATGTTTCTATCTCTCTCTCTCCCTCACTCTTCCTCTCTGAAACCAATAAAATATATATATATGTAAAAAAAAAAAAGAAAGCTGCTTTAGATTAAGATTCTAAATAAATGATTTTGAAGAAAAGGAACCCCAATTTTTTTTTCTAAAGGCTTACCTGAAACTTTCTCCTTAAGGCCCGGGTCATTACTGGGGTCAGTCCAGTTCCTGTTTCAATATTTTCTTTATTGGTAAGAGGGGTCCCACCTGGGCTCCTGCAAAGGTAATAAAACTATTAGAAACTGTATTTTATGCCAATTACGATATAGATTTAGAAAACATAAAGATAAGAGAGTGTATTACCTCTCTACATCGACTTTTCTAAGTAGTTTCCGCAGGTCTATCTGACTTTTATCAGGATTACTGATAAAATAAAGACATCAAAATTAGAACTTGCTAGATTTTATCATTTTTCCCAAAGCAAAGCAGTCATTTTTATAGATAACATCCTAGAAATAGTAAAAAATAGCAGTGGGTATTGTTGATAGGAGCATAAGATGATATAATAATTCTTCAGAGCAATACTTCTTGACTTAGTAATTACATGTATACAAATCCATCTTAGGGAAAACTCAGCTATGCATACAGATGATTGATAAGGATGTTCATTGAAATAAAAAAGCATAAACAATCTAAATATCTCAAAACAGGATTTTATCTATGAAATTTATATATAATAAACAATATGTACTTAAGAAATCAAAATGATGCTTTAAATTAATTTTTAATAAGATGGGGGAAGCTCATGACACACTGAATGGGAAAAGTCATAACTGTATCTACAATATGATTATACACAGGTATACACACATATATTATGTTTCCTTGATTCTAAGACACACTAGTTTTCATATTTTATTATCTCTGAAATCAAACTGCTTTAAAATTTATTTTATTGAGGTATATAAGTTACTAAAATTCTTGATAGTAATTGTTTTTCCCCCCAAAATCTGTTATCTGCCTAGAAAAAGATGATAAATAATAGTACGTTAACAGTAGGAATCTTTAATGATATATTTAGTTGGATGATTTTTGTTTTCTTCTCTAAATTTTTTTGTAGATACCATTTTTTCTACAATGCACATATATAATTTTTAAAGTTAGAAAAAAGCAAAAAACACATTCTTTTAAGTAGTGGTAGAGGATAACATGGTGTGATTTCTTACATTAAGACGTTTGTAACTCGAGTTGGTAACACTTTGGAGTTGGGCTTCAGGGTAACACGCTGCAGGTCAGAGACGGTAACTAGCGGATTCCGTACCTTTGGTGATGGAACAAGCTTTAATTGCAAAATGAGACGTTATTAAAAAACACATGAAAAATATTCAAAATGTAAACATGCTGAAACAATGAATATTTGAGTGCTGGATATGCATAAGATATAGCCACTACTCTACTCAAGTTTTACTCTAAAACTTCAAAGTATGTCTCTACCTCTTCAGACTAATGGTTGGCACATAAAACTGCCCAATTAAATAATTTTGGAATCTACATATTTTGTTGCAGAGATCCACAACTACTTAAATAAGACATCAAATACTCACGTTGGGATAGCTTCTATACATAAGACTTATATTTTGTTTCCATAAAGGGACAATCAGGCTAATAGCTTAAAGACTCTGTGTATGATCAATGATATCTTACCTTTTTCTTTTCATCAAAACTCTGGGTTTTCTTTAATTTCACAGTCATTAGATCTTTAACTGTTATCTGCATGGGTCCATCTTTTTTCAATGGTCCAGCCTTAAAATACATGGAAAGATTAGAATTCAATTCGGAACCATGATATCTAGTCAAATGCAAATCATAATATACTTTTTAAAGACCTAGAGTTAAAAGTTAACTCTTATTTACCCTAGGAACCTATCAAATTCTTGTCACTTAATCAAGAATGATCCTGTTTTCAGTACCCAAAGTTACTAAGGCTATTGAAGGTATTCATCAAACGGTAAAACTTTGATAATAAGAGATGAGCTAGTTCCTGAAATTATGCATCTTCCTCAGTAGTCATTACAAGACACGAGTTGAAGTAGTTCCTCAAATCAAATGACGTTTACCTGAACTATGTAAAAAGATGATCCAGTTCCCATACAGCAAAAATGTATAGTCAGAGAGGTATACATTTGGGCAAATATAGCTGTAGGCTCTGGATTTAACTCAGCCATTATAAATCAAATGTATCCATAGCATATTTTAAAACAGGATCATGTCTATCTTAGTGATTTACAAATATTTCAGTCCCTGTGACAGATAAGTAAACCTAAACCTAATGGAGACTGGTTCTCTGGATCCACCAACTCTTTTTATTCAGAGTTCACTCACTAAGCTATCTCCTGTTCTTAATTTGGTTTCTCAGGGAGGTTTTCCTTTTGGTAAAAAGATATGTCGACATTTTTCAAGGGAAACTTACTAGTTTAGTTGGGGAGAAAAAATAAAAGATATGCTGAGAAGCCAACAGAAATCTTGTATTCTACTAAATTATATTCATTTATCCTTAAACAAAATCACTTGTATTTCTATATCCAGCTTTTGTGAGTTCCCAGGGGACTGATTTTTTTATAAACACAGTAACTGACATAATTAAGATATGGAATCAGAATATAGCTTTCCTGTTAAAGTCCTTAGCCCAGCCTTAAAATGACACCTGTCTTTACGCCTCCATTACGTACTGACCAAAACACACCTTTACTAGATTGTTTTTTACCTGAAGTGCTTTGGTGAGATTGGATTTTCTGAGCAGCAAAGGTGCTGTGGGTGGTGGAGGGGGAGGCAGAGGTGGAGGTGGAGGTGGAGGGGGTGGAGGTGGGGGTAGAGGAGGAAGATGGCCTGCTGGCTTTGGCAGGGTGGCAGGAAGTACAGCTCCGGATTCTCCAGGGGTGGTTAGAGCACAGGCAGGCACTATTGTAAGTTTACCATTCATGTAACAGGGATGACCACAGCTCGGACAGGAAGAATTTTCTGAGATAGTCTGAAAGAAGACATTACATTTGGCAAAGAAAGAACAGATTAATTTGGTTCTTGTAGCCGAGGATCATTCAAGTAAAAGGTACTATATAGAATACTTTCTCAGTACATCATGTTTCATAATATTTTCTCATTTATCACAAGTTCATTCATTCAGTTATTCAGTTAAATCAATTATGTATCTTAGTATAATAAACAATAGATTATATGCCTAGAAAAAGATTAGAATTATAAATAATAGTACGTTAACAGTGGCAATCTTCAATGATATATTTAAATTTCATTCAGACATTTGTTTTATGTATGCAAATGTCAGGCACTATAGGCCAATGAGAGCCCTGTGTGCCACCTCATGGAGCTGACAGTCTGGTGAGGAACACATACGATATGCTCAAAACCAAATAAAATAATAATAACAGTAATGAAGTGTGCTGAGAGCATAAATAGTGAGAAGCCTGGGGAGCAACATTTAGCTATAATCTCAAGGATGAATTGAGATTTATCATGTGAAGGAAGATAAGGACTGGGGAAAGAGAATTCCTAGCAGAGGGAAAAATACTTAGCAGCCAAGAATCCTATATAATAAAACGCTAATATGCAAATTGACCCAACGGCCGAACGACCGGTCGCTATGACATGCTCTGACCACCAGGGGCAGACACTCAATGCAGGAGCTGCCCCTTGGTGGTCAGTGCACTCCCACAGGGGGAGTGCTACTCATCCAGAAGCCGGGCTCACGGCTGGCGAGTGCAGTGGTGGTGGCAGGAGCCTCTCCAGCCTCTGCGGCAGTGCTAAGGACCCCTAGGGGATGTCCGACTACCTGGCCATGGAGCAAGCCTAAGCTGGCAGTCGACACCCCCTGAGGGATCCCGGGCTGCGAGAGGGCACAGGCAGGCTGCAAGACCCTCCTCTCCCCGCACAGTGCACAAATGCCATGCACTAGGCCTCTAGTATAGTATATTCAAGAAATTGATAAAAAGGCCAAGGGTCTGTAACATGACCATATGGACTGACTTGTGTACACTCCCCTCACCCCCAATCATATGTTGAAGTTTTAATTCCCAGTACTCTAGAATATATTTGGAGATAGGGTCTTTAAAAAGGTGGTTAAAGTAAAATAAGGCTGTCAGGGTGGGCTTTCATCCAATCTGACTGGTGTCCTAATAAAAAAGGAAGTATGAATATACAGGACACACCTGAGATGGGCGTGCACAGTGCAAAGTCCATGTGAGGAGACAGTGCGAAGGCGAGCCAAGGTGAGAGGCCTCAGAAAGAACAACAACCCAACCTTGATCTTGGACTTCTAGCCTCCAGAATTGTGAGAAAATAAATTTCTGCTGTATAAGACACTTAGTCTGTGTTACTTTGTTATGGCAGCCCTAGCAACGAATAAAATGATCCTATGAAGTAAGATGGCATATTAGTTTCCTGTGGCTACTGTAACAAATTATCACGAACTTGGTGGCTTAAAATAATAGAAATTCATTTATTCATTTTCTCACAGTGCTGGAGCCTACAAGTCCGAAATCAAAGGGTCAGCAGGGCTGCACTCCTTCCCAAGGCTCCAGGGGAGAATCCGTTCCTTGCCTCTTCCAGCTTCTGGTAGATTCCTTGGTTGAAGCCGCATCACTACAACCTCTGTCTCTGTGGTCCCACTGCTCTTCCTCTTCTGTGTATTCTGCTCTGTGTGTCTCTTTTATAAGGACAATTCACTTGTCGAAATGCAAAACCGTTGTTTTATTTAGACTAGGAAGTTCCATTGGATGTAGTCTCTTCCCAGGTAACACAGGATGACCTCCTTATCTCAAAATCCTTAATTTTATCAGCAAAGACGCCTTCTCCCAAATAAGCTAATATTTATAGGTTCCAGGGATTAGGATTTGGACATATCTTTTGGGGGGCCGTCACTCAGCCCCCTAAAGATGGCATCATCCCCACTTTAGAGACAATGAAACTGAGGCCGAGAGGTGATTTGTCTTCCCCTGTCTGGCTAGTTCATCTTGAGGTACAAATTCTGGGAGCAGGGATATACCCTCAGAGGTTTCTCTCTAAACCAATGAGTACAATGTTTATTCTTTTGAGTTTTGGACATTGAGAATAGAGGCCTTGCTCAGGAGAGTGAAGGGGGTGGATATTTACAGTTTTGGGTTGTTGTTTTTTTCTGCCTTTATTAGTCAAGAATAGAGGCCTTGCTCAGGAGAGTGAAGGGGGTGGATATTTACAGTTTTGGGGTTTTTTTTTTCCTGCCTTTATTAGTCAAGAAAATAAAAACACCCTGAGTATCTCAAAGATGGGGAATGTAATGAAGGCAGTTGGTCCCACTGTTGCTGGAAGAGATGAGAAGCACACAGGGGGCAGTGAGGCAGCCCAGAAATTTTCAAGAGCAGAAAGCTATGAATATCCTGCGAATGGAAGGACAAAGGAAAGAGCAGTAGAAGCAGATCTCTGGAGCTAGGTTAACCCAGAGAATCAAGAAATGTGGCAAACTTACCTTGTGGGAGCTGGAATTTGAGAAACAATTACAGCCATTGCTGGGGAAACCGCCCAACACAGAAAATGAAAGGGGAAAAACACCCTATCTCAGTGATGGCGAACCTATGACACGCGTGTCAGAGGTGACACGCGAACTCATTTTTTTGGTTGATTGTTCTTTGTTAAGTGGCACTTAAATATATAAAATAAATATCAAAAATATAAATCTTTGTTTTACTATGGTTGCAAATATCAAAAAATTTCTGTATGTGACACGGCACCAGAGTTAAGTTAGGGTTTTTCAAAATGCTGACACGCCGAGCTCAAAAGGTTTGCCATCACTGGCCTATCTTCTCCCTCCCTCTAGTCTCTCATCCATGTCTACTGTTAGTCTAGCACAACCAGGAACCAGGTGACACGGAGCTTGGGGAATGTAACCTAAAGGGGCCAGCATCCCTGCAATATGGAGCAGAGCCTCAATGTTTTAAGGAACAGATCTGAGGGCAAACAGGCCTAGGATTAGCACTCACCTGCAGTCATTCCTTTTCTAGTAAAAGCACTTTGAGATTCTTATGGGAGACAACCCCTTCCCTCCTTACCAAATCCCAGACTTAATTTTTTGTTTTTTTGAATATATTTTTTATTGCTTTCAGAGAGGAAGGGAGAGGGAGGAGATAGAAACATCAATGATGGGAGAGAACCACTGATCCGCTGCCTCTTGCACACCCCTTACTAGGCATAAGCCTGCAACCTGGGCATCTGCCCTTGACCAGAATCAAACCTGGGACCCTTCAATCCACAGGCTGACGCTCTATCCACTGAGCCAAACCAGCTAAGGACCCAGATTTGTTTTTTATTTGGTAACTGGAGGCCAGGTGCATGAAAATTCATACACTCGGGTGAGTCCCTCAGCCTGGCCTGCGCCCTCTTTCAGTCCGAGAGCCCTCGGGGGATGTCTGACTGACAGCTTAGGCCCGCTCCTCTGCAGGAGGCGACCAGCAGGCCAATTGGAGGATGGTGCCAGACGGCGAGTGGCCGGCTCTTCTGCTCCTCTGCCGCTGACCCCCAATTGCTATCCACTCCCTCTGCCCGCTGGCACCTGACTTGGCTGGCCTGGAGCCTCCCACTTGCTGGGCCCACCCCCCGCTTACCAGGTCGTTCCTCCATTCCATCGATTTGCATATTAGATTTTTATTATATAGGATACTAACCTTCAGTGCTTCTTGGAGCTTGCATAATTCACTTTCCAAAATGCAAAACTGTTGTTTTAGACTATGAAGTTCTTGGCGGCAGAAACGGGAAGGAAAGATGGTGTCTTTCAATACTTCTAAGGTCTAAAATTAAAAAATACACAAGCCTGACTCTGATGAGCAATAAGATAAAGACAAGAAAAGAGGACAAGAAAGTGGTCTTGTTTCTTATAGAAACAAAGGCAGACAAGACCCCATAACTTCATCTTATCTGAGTTTAGCCTGAGTGCTGCGCTGACCTGAGTGCACACACATAGCGAGTGTGTAGTGCTGGAAACAGGTATGTCAAACCCATACCTGGGCTATGCAGTTCTGGCACCAGTTGTATAAAAACCGTCCTCTATTTGTCCAAAGTTTTACTGCATCTTTGATACTGGGAAATTTGAAATTCCAGGATGATCTTAGCCAGGTTCTGATAAGAGGTGTGTTTGTTGAAGAAATAACCGCTCTGTGGGAAAAACAAAACCAAATAAAGCAAAAACTCCTGAGTTGGAATCATAGCCCCTAACTAAATAACAAGCTAGTTTTATAGTAGAAGTCAGGAACAGAGACTTCCTAAAGTCAAATTCTTCAGTAGATTCTAGAATTCTGGGATTCACTTATGCAACAAATATTTGTTGAGTAAATAAACAATAACAAATAAAATAAATGAAATAATAAATAAATAAGAATTAGGGATTTAGTAATGAATAAAATAGACAAAAACCCTACCCTTGTGGAGTTTACAGTTTAATGGAAGATAAAAATAAATAAATAAATAACTTATGTGGGTTGTTAGTGCATAAATGCTAAGAAGAAAAAGATAGAGAGAGCCCCTAACTGGTTTGGCTCAGTGGATAGAGCATCAGCCTGTGGACTGAAGGGTCCCAGGTTCGATTCCGGTCAAGGGCATGTACCTTGGTTGCAGGCACATCCCTGGTAGGGGGTGTTCAGGAGGCAGCTGATCAATGTTTCTCTCTCATTGATGTTTCTGGCTCTCTATCCCTCTCCCTTCCTCTCTGTAAAAAATCAATAAAATATTTTTAAAAAAGATAGAGAGAGGGGGAATGTGAAATGTTGGGTAGAGATGAAATTTTCGATATGGTAGCCAGGGAAAGTCTTGCTGGGAAGGAGACTTTTGAGGGGTGGGAGGTGGGGAACCCTAAAGGAAATAAAGAAGCTAGCAAGTCAAATATCTAGAAGAGCCCTAGCCAGTTTGGCTTAGTGGATAGAGCGTCGCCCTACGGACCAAAGGGCCCAGGTTCGAATCCAGTCAAATATCTAGAAGAAGAGCATTCCATCAGGAGCGAGTGCAAAGGCCCTGAGGTGGAAGTTCATTGAGGTGTCTGAGGAATAGCTAGGTGTCTGGCCAGGATGACTTGGGTGGAGAAATAGAAGGGAGAAGGATTAAGAAATAATGTCAGCCCTAATCGGTTTGGCTCAGCGGATAGAGTGTCGGCCTGCAGACTCAAGGGTCCTGGGTTCGATTCCAGTCAAGGGCATGTACCTTGGTTGTGGGCACATCCCCAGTTGGGGTTGTGCAGGAGGCAGCTGATGGATGTTTCTGGCTCTCTATCCCTCTCCCTTCCTCTCTGTAAAAAATCAATAAAATATATTTAAAAAAAAAAAGAAATAATGTCAGAGTCAGATCATAAAGGCCTTGGGGGTCATACTATGGACTTTAATTTCTACTCTGAGAGAGGAAGATATTGAAAAGCTTTAAGTAGAGAATATGACACGATTTTAACAGGCTTACTGCAGAGGGAGAAAAGGCAGAAGCAGAAAGACCAGTTAGGGACTTTCTCAATATTAGGGAGAAATGGAAAAGAGAATGATATCATGGTAACTGCTTTTTGAGGGGCTGTTTGTTTTAATTTTTTTCTGTAAAGAGAGCTAAAACAACAAAATGTATAAATTGTTATTGTGACAAAGTACCCTTGGGTTCCTAGAACTTAGAGTATCTTTCAATAACACATTTAAGCCCTGAATCCCAGAGAATACTGACCAAACTTTACCAAAATTTAAGCCCTGAATCCCAGAGAATACTGACCAAACTTTACCAAAACTGAGATTTAAATTCCAATATTAAACCTCTCTTTCATTGCTTGGTTATCATATTTATGCAATTAAATTGAGTAGGAAAAGAGAAAATAGTTACTGTGCACCTCCAACACAATTCCTTGTGATCATTACTTCATTTGAACTCGTAGACTATAGTTGCCACACAAAATTCAAGGATGCTCAGTTAAAATTCAATTTCTGAATAAGTTTTAGTATAAGTATATTAGAAATGCTGCATGAGACAATAGAAAAAAACTCACTGTTTATCTGAAATTCAAATTTAACTGGGCATTCTGTATCTTCACTTGCTAAATCTAATAATTTTATCTTAAACTGATGGGATTTTTAATATTTTTCTCTGTTCCACATTATGCCTTACCTTTCTGTTGAGGCTGGTGGAGGGGGAGGTGTAACTAGCTTGGACTGAAAGTGAGAGAATTCTTTTTTTTTAAATAATCTTTTTGCTTTTACTTTTCGCTTCCTTCTTTGTTGCTTGAACTTGAGCATGATTTCTGTAGAGAAAAAATATATTAAAAAAAATTTTTTTCTTGTAGCCCTAGCTGGTTTGGCTCAGTGGATAGAGTGTCATCCTGCAGACTGAAAGGTCCCGGGTTCGATTCCAGTCAAGGGCATGTACCTCGGTTGCAGACTGGATCCCTGCCCCTGATCAAGGTGCATGGGGGAGGCAACCAATTGATGTCTCTCTCACATCAATATTTCTCTCTCTCTGTCTTTCCCCCTCCCTTCCACTGTCTCTAAAAATCAATGGAAAAAATATCCTCAGATGAAGATTAACAAAAAAAAAATTTTTTTCTTGAAGGATACTATGTACGTATATAAAATGCACGAATCTTAAGTGTATCGTTTAATGAATTAAACTTAAATTAAACTCACTCTGTAACCACCACCTTGGTTAGAAAATAGGTCACTACAAGCATCCCAGAAGTCTTCTAATGTAGAGAAAAATTTAAGTCCATATTTAAACTATCTCTAGAGGCTTTGGCATTACATTACTAATTTTGTTTTGCTTGTCTTGCTTTTCTTCATTAAATTAAGTGAATTTCCCTTTATTTATGCCAGAGAAAATAGCTATAGTTGGATTACGGTATGTGACTCAAAATAATTAACTTTCTTTGCCAGTAACATTTACTTAGCATCCACTGTAATAGGTGAAGTTGGTAACAGAAGAGAGAAAATTAACCATTTACTTTTGACTGTACTTTTGTAAAGTTGGGGGCAGATTACTACTAAGTGCTAAAAAATATAAGCATATAAAAATGGTTAGGAAAAAAAGTTGTGCAAGAAAAAAAATAATCGTAGTAATATTATATGTTCCACTGTTAAATATTTAATAGTGTAAATATTGAATATTTACTCAACCAAAAATGATGATGTAGGTATATTGGGAAGAAAGAAAAGTAGGAATTAGTAGTTGTCTAAATGTATATAGTGTCTAAAATTTTTAAAAAGAGAGAAACAGTATTATAAGTATGTTATTTAGATGGAGGTAAATGTCAGAAAAAATTACAGCCGAAACCGGTTTGGCTCAGTGGATAGAGCGTCAGCCTGCAGACTGAAAGGTCCCAGGTTCGATTCCGGTCAAGGGCATGTGCCTGGGTTGCGGGCACATCCCCAGTAGGAGATGTGCAGGAGGCAGCTGATTGATGTTTCTCTCTCATAGATGTTTCTAACTCTCTATCTCTCTCCCCTCCTCTCTGTAAAACAATCAATAAAATATATTTAAAAAAAAAAAGAAAAAATTACAAGAGTGGACAGTGTTGCCTTTGGCAAGTGGGAATCAGGATTATAGGTAATTTACAGAACTGCCATTTTTTTTGTTTGTTCTAACTATAATAAGCCTTGTATTAGTAGTTGACAGTTAACCTTTAGAATATATTATAAGCTTGAAAAATAGAATACCACCATTCTGAAACTGGGCCCTCTCTTTTTAGCTCTTTCCTGGTGGTTGTTCCAGTACCCATGCATTCACATTTCTTAAGAGTCCAACAAAAGCCGATGTATGCCATTGTGGAGATTATTTTTCAATTAAAAAAAAAATCTAGGAACTAAGTCATATTTTCTCCTCTGGCTCTGTGTGTGTGTGTGTGTGTGTGTGTGTGTGTGTGTGTGTGAGAGAGAGAGAGAGAGAGAGAGAGAGAGAGAGAGAGAGAGAAAGAGAGAGAGCGAGATAGAGAGTTCTGGGCTCTGGGTCATTCTCATTCTAATAGTTTTCTAATTAAATACAGTAATTAGCACATGCAGACAATTTAGAGACCATGTCAAATCTGTCAATGTAGAAAGGTGCAATCCGAGATAATTCTTAGACTAATATTCCATTCAAAAATAATCACAACTTGCCCTAACCGGTTTGGCTCAGTGGATAGAGCATTGGCCTATGTACTGAAAGGTCCCAGGTTTGATTCTGGTCAAGGGCATGTACCTTGGTTGCAGGCACATCCCCAATAGGAGGTGTGCAGGAGGCAGCTGATTGATGTTTCTCTCATCAATGCTTCTAACTCTCTATCCCTCTCCCTTCCTCTCTGTAAAAAATCAATAAAATATATCTAAAAATAACAATCACAGCTTTTCCAAAAATTAAAGATAATTAATTTCTACCTCAAACAGGACAAAGGACTCAGCAAGCTAAGGTTTGTTTTATTTTCATTGCTTTATTAAAATTATTACAGCCTTGGTCTGTGTGGCTCAGTTGGTTAGTTGGTTGAAGTGTTGTCCTGTACACCAAAAGGTTTAGGGCTCGATCCCCAGTCAGGCATATATGGGAGGCAACCTATCGATGTTTTTCACTCACATCGATGCTTCTCTCTCTCTCTCCCTCTCTCTCTCTTTCTCTCTCCCTCTCTCTCTCTCTCATCAATAAGCATATCCTTTCTACTCTGTAGAGGATAACTATCCTATTGAAAGACTATATAGCAATTTTCCTTGGGATTAAAAACACATATACCGTAACTATCCCCTTTCCAAAAGAGTAATAAAAACATACAAATTCTTTTTGCTGGGTTAGGTGGGATTTCAATTATTAATACTAGATAGAAGCTCATTCTTCCATGATTACTCAAAGCATTTTTCCTTTTTTTTTTTAATTGAAAAGTATTCTTCCTTCCTTTTTACGTGCCCTGTTTTGAGAAGATTTTAAGGCCAATTACAAAGAATCTATACCACAACATAAATAAAAAAAATAAGTGAAGAAATTAGGATACTCCATTGTAGAGTAGAATATATAAAATATCTATATAATAAAAGCCTAAGCAATGGTTAGGGCGGAAGGACCAGAACGACTGGTTGCTATGATGTGCACTGACCACCAGGGGGCAGATGCTTAATGCAGAAACTGCCCCCTGGTGGTTGGTGCACTCCCACAGCAGGAGCGCCACTCAGCTGACTGACCCGTCCCAGTGGCTCACCAGTCTGGTGCAGCCACTCACTCCCTCAGTAGTCCTGCAGGTCCAATCTCCAGAAAACGGGCCAGGCACCGATGGACTGGCATTGCTGGCACAATCCCGACAGTGCCTCCAGACTCCTGTAAGTAGGCCTCAGGCACCGGCTGCCTCCCACCCCTAGACGCTCCACAAAGAAGAAATGATATAAAAGCAGCTGCCAGGTGGCTCCCGACAACCGACAACCTGAGCGAACATCAGAGGGACGGATCCAGATCCCAGGCGGGCAAGGGCATCCCACCGACCACCCAGAGGGCTGATCATGTCCTGGCCCCCCTCCCATCCCCCTCGGGACAGGCGCCAGATGCAGGGCTCACATCAGGACTGACTGGACTCGAGCCTGCTGCAGGCACAGAGCGGCTGGGATCTGGGATGAGTGGGAGTGGCAGGCAGGAGTGGCAGGCAGCGTTGGACTGCCAGTTTCAGCCCAAGCCCTGCAGGCCACATTGAGGGACTCCACCTGTGCACGAATTTGTACACCAGGCCTCTAGTATTATACATGACACACATACATATATTCATATATGAGTCATAAATATTCCTCTGACTAACTTAATTCTGTCCCTTCTCCTTACCATCCCTTCCCCTTCTGTCCTCTAACTTCAGTTGCTTTTACCATCTTTTCCCTGGGCTTTCTTCTGTTTTTGTCTTTTGCTATAACCTATTTTCATCTATTCTTTTTATTTTGAAAATTTTCAAACCTTGAGAAAAATTAAAGAATAGGGTACTAAACACTCATATCATTCACTCAGATTCACCAATTATCTGTTATCTCTTTCTGTATAGGTGTGCATGTAATATAATGTATTTTATGTCATATATCTTCCTAAACACATTTTTATGGAGGTTTCTTACACTTTCCCATAAACAGCTTTCAGTCCATTAATCAAATTCCATTACCAACCAGTTCAATTGATTCCTCTTGAACATCCTTAGGGCTTTTCTGGTACTTTCATATATTTAATTTTACATTTTATGCTGTACAGCATTGCTTTTTAAGTTCCTGGCTCTTTTTTTTTCTCTTTAGAAATTAAAGCTCTTTAACCCTAGTCCAGCACAGTATTAGGTACATAGTATACAGGGCATACTTCTAAAGTTGACATTCTCACTGACAGTGGGATGATAGTAAGACTATATGAAGGATTATAGTAATACTACCTGTCAAGAAATTAACATTCTCGAACTTTAATGTGCATGAGAATCACTGTGTCTGTGTAAGTGGGGAATCTTGTTAAAACGCATTATTGATTCAGTAAGTTTGGGTGCAGTCCAATCACCTGCATTGTGCACAAGCTCCCAAGTGATGTAGATGCCGTAGGTCCGTGGACCGCACTTCGAGTAGCAAAGATGTAAAGGACTGTGCAAAAGGACGGCAGATACTTTCCTCCAAAACATAATTTTCAGAGTGTTAATTAAATAGAAATATGATGAGGGTGGCACCAGGCGGACCACTTCTTACCCTCCTCAACCTCCTCTGCCCCGCTCCATCTCCCCTCCGAGTCCAGCCAAAGTCCCCACCTCCGTAAACCGTTAGGAACACAAGCAGCAACAGGCCCAGCCACGGAAGACGCGAGCCCGGGTAACAAAGAAAAGATATCCCTGCACTTACTAGTCTAAGAGCCGGGGATTTAGATGAAGTCCAGGCAGTGGCCTCGCCCTCGCCATGAAGAAAAATTCAAAATTAAAACCTTCCGGAGAAGGGACCAATCGTAGTCTCGGTCTCCCCACGCACAGGTCTCCCAGTAACGTAGGAGCACGGCCTGGCTTGTGATTGGCTGAGACGACAACACGCTTCGGCCAATGAGAGCTGAGGCGCTTCTCGTATGAATAAGGAGAAGGCGGGAGTGAAGGGGAAGAGAGGCAGGAGAGGAAAGAAGGTGTGTCACTTCCCGTTTGCTCTCTGTGGAAGCCTTTGTGTCATTGGTTGGCTCTTCTTCCGATGGCACCAATCGCAGTCTTCTCGGCTGAGCCCTAACTATGAAATTGAAAGTAGAGAGGAGGATGCAGCCAATGTAAAAATATAAGTATACAGCAACCAACCCTCCGGCGGCATTTTGTGCCTTGGCCCAACTGGAAAAGGTGTTACATGAGGGAGAGGCGTTGCCTAATCGCCAATGGGCGGGCGCTGGTGAAGCGGAGCAGCCAATGAGTGCAAGATGTTGAGTGACAGCTGTCCAATAGGGACGCTCAGTGCTAGTATGGTTTGCGCCTTAAGCGCCGCCGGGGCCTGAGGAATGTCAACTATTCAACATGGAGGAGGAGGTCGATAAGCTGGAATTGATGGTGAGTGTAAAGTGTAGGAGATCTGCTGGGTAGTTTATTTTTTCCCCTGTGGCCTCCAAAGTGGGAAGCAATTCAGAGTCGCCGGAAACCCTGGGCGGCGGAGGCTGGACTAGACCCGAGTTCCCTCCTCCTGCACCAAAGGGAGTCGCCGCCGTCTGGTTTTTTAACCGCCGCGGGGGGAGGGGGGCGGGGGAGGAAGGGTTACATCCGGGAGACTGGTGAGGGAAATGGCGGGAGATGCCGAGGGTGTGGGGCCAGCGGGATTGTTTGTTCCTTGCCCTCACCTTTCCGCACCTTACGGACCTGTGGCTGGTGCAGACGTTTGTATTTCTACCAAAAAGATGAGACTGGAATGGTCCCAAAACGTCCCAGAAGGAGAGAGGTCGTTCACACCCAGAAAAGAGGGATGGAGGGTGGGTTTGGGTGGGGATGAACCGAGTGCGGTGGAGGGAAACCCCTTCAGGGCTGAACAGGTTTGCATCCTCCACGGCGGGCTGAAAAGCCTGAGAAGGAGGCTAGACTTGCGCGCTCCACTTCCTAGAGGCCAAGAAAGCTTCTAGACGAGTTTTTGTTTGGCTCTAAGGGGGCAGGCAGCCCTTGGATGGGGGAAGGAGCGATGGGCGCCTGAACCGTGAGCTCCTTTCCTGGTGCGCGGGCAGGATTGGGACCAGGGAGGCACCCCGCTCTCCAGTCTCCGGGTTTCATTCATTTGTGAAAGTTGGGGGCGGGGGCAAATCCTTGGAAAGGACTCCCTCTGCTGCTTGGCCTGCGCGAGGGCGCCTCGCTGGAGAGCTGTCCCAGTTTTCTTCTCTGGATCCTCTCACTTGTCCTCTTTATTCTCTCCCTCCCGTCCCTAGACTGCCAGCTTGATCGCCCGCGCTTTTCCCTTCTCTTTTTAGTTCCCCATCTTCAGTCCTCCTTTCTCACCTGCATTACCAGCTTTTTTGAGTGGACTGGCTTCCTTTAACACGTGCAATTTGGAAGACACACCCATCCTTGAGCTCCCGTCGGTTTTTCCGTTAAAGAAAAATAGGATTGAGAAGCCAAAATCTTTTCCACCCGAAATCTGGCCCTTCTCGCCTTGCTTTCCCCTGTCATTACTTTTTAGGTATCATTTTTTTTTTTGCCTGTGTTGCCCTCTTTAAGCTGAATCTTGGGTCATTTTACCATCCGCACAAGTAATGATCCTGGAAGAAACTGAATACCATCCTCGTCCCTATTCCCACCCCCCAGAACATGTGAGACTTTGATATAACTGATTTTCTTAGATGTATTAATGAATTGTAGTGCCTCATATAAAAATTCGATTTGAACTTTCAGTTGCTTCTAGTGTTTTGAGTTTTAAATTTTGGGGGCTTGGGGGGGGGGGGGCGTGCTGGAGATAGGGAGAGAAATGGCAGAGAAAAAGGATTTTCTGCAGCTTTCCAAAGCAGTAATAATGGACGTTTAGTTCAAAGTTTTGTTATTTTTATCATTAACTCTCTTAAAAAAAAAACCAACCACAAAAACATGTTAAAGAATTGTTAGTAGTTTGATTCTATCCACAGGCATAAATGTTTACATTGTCTTGCTCTTCTCCCCCATTCTGAATTCCCTCCATATCCACACTTCTGCCTAATTGTAAGATGCTAAGTGATATTACTTTTGCTTTTAACAGTTTTTCTCTCCTCAAGTTGGCTGTTTATTTGAGGTACCAATTAAGCCTTTTCTGGATTTTGCAATATATTGAGTCAATATTCTCATAGGACTTTTTTTTTTTTATAGAATGAACATATTTTATTTTAAGGAAAAAATGATTAAGTGTACATCTTGAAAAGTAGGTTTTAGAGAATTATGTGGTAGCCAGACTCTAACTTTTAGATGTTTGAATGATGGGGTAGTTTTTAAAACAATCTTTTTAAAAAAGGAAGAGAAGAAAGGAAGTCTTGAATTCCTTACATCTGTGAACCAGTTTAGTTTCTAAGATTTTAAAGGTAAATAATTTTTTTTCTTTTTTGCTTTTGTTTATTTATTTTTTATTGTCTTTTTTATTTCCCTTTTCTCTAATTGACCCCCCTTCCCATTCCCACCCGGGGCAAGCCCCCACCACCCCAGTGTCTGTCCATTGGTTATGCTAATATGCATGCATACCAGTCCTTTGGTTGCTCTCTAACTCCACCCCCCCCCCCCCAAACACACACACACAAAAAATCCCCTGGCATTTGTCTCTGGAACTATTCTTTTTTTTTTAAATATATTTTATTGAATATCTACAGAGAAGAAGGGAGAGGGACAGAGAGTTAAAAACATTCATGGGAGAGAACGATCAGTTGCCCCCTGCACGCCCCCCAGAAGGGAGGTGCCCCCAACCAAAGTACAAGCCCTTGACCGGAAACGAACCTGGGACCCTTCAGTCCGCAGGGCGACGTTTTTTTCACTGAGCCAAACCGGGTCGGCACTGGATCTATTCTTGTTTCATCAAAATATGTTGGTTATTTTATCCCACATATGAGGGAGATCCTGTAATTTTTTTTCCTTCTCCAACTGACTTTATTTTGGTTAGTATAATGCTCTCTCCGTTCCTTTCTTGCTTTTGCAAAAAATTAAAAGTCACTTCTTTTTTTTTTAGCGGCTATTATTCCATTGGGTAAATGTAACACAAGTTTTTCTAATCCATTCAATCTGTTGTTGGCCACGTACCACAGTTTTTAATCCACTATTGCAATTGTGCTGCTATGAACATAGCGGGTGCATATATCCTTTTTGATTGGTGTTTCTGGTTTCTTGGTTTATAGTCCTAGAAGTGGGATTACTGGGTCAAATGGGAGTTCCATTTTTAACTTTGTAAGGAAACTCCATACTGTCTTCCACAGTGGCTGCTCCAGTCTGCATTCCCACCATCAGTGCACGAGGGTTCCTTTTTCTCCACAACCTCACCAGCACTTGTTCTTTGTTGATGATAGCCATTCTGACAACCAGTTAGGATGTCAGTTGGCTTGCATTCTTACCAGTTAGGATGTCAGTTGGTATCTCATTCTTGTTTGGTTTGCATCTCTCGGATGATTAGTAACTTTGAGCATGTTTTCGTATGTCTCTGGGCCTTCTGTATGTCCTTTTTGAAAAGTGTCTATTTAGATCCTTTGCCCAGGTAAATAATTTTTGATGCAATCCTCTGATTTTTAGTTGAAATATTCTAATATCTGATTTATGTGGCCCAGAATTTGAGGTTAAGACACGTTCCAGCAGTCCTGAATTTTGTTCATTTCTTCGTAGGCTCAATCCAACTAAGTAGTTGAACTGGACCATTTAAGGCAGTGGTTCTCAACCTTCTGGCCCTTTAAATACAGTTCCTCATGTTGTGACCCAACCATAAAATTATTTTCGTTGCTACTTCATAACTGTAATGTTGCTACTGTTATGAATCGTAATGTAAGTATCTGATATGCAGGATGGTCTTAGGCGACCCCTGTGAAAGGGTCGTTCGACCGCCATAGGGGTCACAACCCACAGGTTGAGAACCGCTGATTTAAGGGAAGGTTAGTGAAAATAATGGGAAGTGTTTTTTCATCAGTCAACATTATTAATTGGGAAATAAGTTTATTGTAGGGTTCTTTAACTTTTTCCTTCACTTAATGAGGGGTATTTGTCTAGTGTCCTTCTTTTGTGGTACCACTGATTGTGCACAAAAGGTAGTATAGTGTGATACTATTTCTATTTCTGGGCTTACATCTGACTTTTGAATTGATTTCTTACCAGTTAGGATGTCAGTTGGCTTGCATTCAAGGAAACCTGATACTTAAATATTTACATTTTGGACACCCTCCCATTCTCGCCCGCCACCTGCTCATTATTCCATTATTATTTTCTCTTTGATTTTTATTATTTATTTTTTTAATATATTTTATTGATTTTTTACAGAGAGGAAGGGAGAGGAATAGAGAGTTAGAAACATCGATGAGAGAGAAACATCAATCAGCTGCCTCCTGCACACCTCCCACTGGGGATGTGCCTGCAATCAAGGTACATGCCCTTGACCAGAATCGAACCTGGGACCTTTCAGTCCGCAGGCCGACGCTCTATCTACTGAGCCAAACCGGTTAGGGCTCTCTTTGATTTTTAAAAATATATAGTTTTATTGATTTCAGAGAGAGAGGGAGATAGAAACATCAATGATGAGAGAGAATCATTGATTGGCTGCTTCCTGCACACACCCTCCTGGGGATCCAGCCCCCAATCCTGGGCATGTGCCATGACCCAGAATGGAACCATACCTACTGGTTCATAGGTCGATGCTCAACCACTGAGCTACACCAGCTGGGCCTCTTTGATTTTTAAGTTTAAGAAAGATGTTTTGATGTTTTAGGGGTTAACTGAAAATTGAAAATGCCCTTTCATCATATTCAGCTAGGTAGGGCTAATGATGTCATGTTTAGGATACGTTGATTCCCTGGAATTCTGTAAACTAGATAAAAAGCCCTAAGATGGTAAGCGCTTTTTGTATTATAGATTAAACTAGGGGCTCAGTGCACAAATTCGTGCACCTTCAAAGGAACTGTGGGCCGCGAGGCTGCGGTGGGCACAGGGGTGGGTTTGGCCCATCCTCCATGTCCCCACTGGGCTCTTCTCGCTGTGGCCCCTGGTCCCCTGTCTTCCGACAGTCCCGCACCCGCCACTACTGCTCCCACATGCTGACGGTGCTGGTCCCGCTTGCACCTGCTGACGGCGAGGAGCCATTGGGGCCGGTGCCAGCAGTGGGTGTGAGCGGCGGCTGCTGCCCTGATCACCCTAAGGAGCAGGAGGAGGTGGAGAAGCCCTCAGGGGTGATTAGGTCCAGCAGCTGCCACTTGCACGCACTGACAGCGCCAAGCAATGAGGACTGGTGCCGGGTGCTGGCAGCGGGTGCAAACGCCGGGTGGGAGCAAAGAATTTTCAGTAACCACCAGAAACTTGCGCCTATGACAGTAACTGGTGCCCCACCTTGGCCTGGCACCCCCACTCACCTGCTCCACCATCCTGCTGCG